TTAATCGGATTGCATCGTAAGGCTTTTCAAAATGGATTTGTTATTACAGATCAAATCGCATATGATGTTAAATCAACTCGTTTAAAATTAAACAAAAATATGCACGTATATGGCCTCCACTTTTGTACGTATAAGCCATTTATTTGCATTCTATACGACTTGTTTGTTTGTATATATGTTTGTATATCACGAAAACAACTTTGAATATACGTGCATTCTGGTTGTCTGGGTTGTATGGTGTACTAACCAAATTTAACTTGCTGAAACTCAGCAGAATTTTGCTAACTTTAAACTTGATGTAAGATCAGCAAACTTTCCAGCAAAATATTGCTGCTGAATTTTCCAGCAATTCCAACTTCTGTCAAAAGGACAACATTTTACTGATAATCAGCAAACATGTCAGCAATATTTCTTTATTGATTTTTCAGTAATAAAAAAAAAATGACAGCTGACAGCATTTTGCTGAACAAATTCAGTAAATCGAATTTATTTTCACTTGGGGGCAGCTTCTGGTATTTTTTTGTGACATTTGAGTTTGGTACTGTATTATGATAGCTTGTTTTGCAAGTGTCGGAGGCAAAGGCAGTCAATTATCACAGAAAATGTGTCGACTACCGTGACCGTTTACAAGACTGGTCTAGAGGTATATTTATTGGCAATTCTAGTTACATAAATTTGAACAAGGACATGCAGAAATCATACAGTTAACAATAGTACAAAACAGACAAATGCTACAAACGGTAACAATTCGGGAAGTTTTTTTTAGTTACATTATTTGAACAGGCTCAATCGAATAAACTTTACGGAGCCAAGTTATCATTTGCGTTACACATTATTAATGTCTTAAATCTAAAGTTAAAGTAATTGAACCGACTACTCGCGGAGGGATTCGGGAAGTTATGTATCGCCTAAATGTTTAGAAAAATCGTAGAACAGGTCAACGTCTTTCCTGAAGTTTGGAGAAGGTCATGGATGTCCTGAGATCTTTATTGAATTGAAATAGCTGTACTTAGTGCATTACCTATTCATCGTTCTTATTTGATCTTAGACATATGGTCTTTTCAGAGTCGTGAACAGATTTCAAAAATTGATGAGTCACATAATATGATTCTGATTCTGAAGGAGCTGTGCAAACGGTTATATGACTCTCGAAGAAACCTGAGTTGAGCATTGTTTGCCTGTCACATGAAAGTTTTTCTCCGTAAAATTTGCAGTAGAACCGATTCAAGTGGACCCGGAATGCACTCATGATCGTTCTGCGATCTCCTAACCTGGTATGAATCATATGATTTCCAATCTGGGATGAAGACTTTGGTTAGCAAAATTCACATTCTTGGCACAAAAATATATTGCACCAAATACAATCAGCAATTAAATCTCCAATCAATGGCCAAATAAATGAACTCGGTCAACTGCAAACACTGTAATACGTCAACAAACATCTTGACAAATATACATTATTTGGCAAAACTTACCGAGTTAAATATTGCGTGTGGGCAAACAGTGTCGATCATCGATTTTCTCTTTAATTTTCTTCACTAACTAGAACCAATTTTCCGAAATTGTCCCAATACAGTGCTGTTAAATGTTTAGAAACACCAGGACAGGTTGAAATGTGCTGGGAAGTTCAAACGGATAACCTATAGCGGAAGTGAATATTGAATTTGATTATTGTTGAGGTGCTTTATGGTCTATCGAAAACTACTGAATTAAAAATAAACGCAGTAGGGTTAACTACCCCATTTCCGGCCTATTAAGCACAACCCGCACTTAGTCTTTCTTAATCTAGCACAGCATAGCACCAAACGAAATGTTATTATTACTGATGGCTTCCAAATGCATTTACCTTTCCGTCTGTACCGTAAGATTTGATAAAGAGAAACCAATAGTTGAGATATTGTCAAAAGTCTAAAACTGCTTCTTGACGCCAAGCTCGGCCTACGGATTCTAAACTCGGCCTAACGCATTGAAACGCCATTGAAACGGCAATGAATTCACTTCGGCCTATCGGATGAAGATACAAATTGATTCGGTCGGAGCGCTTCTTTTGTTTTTGGAAAAAATGTGTGCAAACCTTCATATCACGCGTTCTCATTGACTTTGTTCCGTAGCTTATTAACTAAAGTATCGTACTAAACGCGTAATTGACTTGTTAACTCTGAAATCATGGATTTATTTGAAGTTTTCTGCTCGATAGGCCCAAAATGGGCGCTTAGGCCGAAGTAGTTCTCTACCCTAATTATTCAATTCCGCTAAGGGATACGCCTTTCTTTTAAAATTTCCCCGTTTATTTCAACCTTCCCCAATGTACGTTAGATTGGCTGGCTAAAGCAACAGCCAACGCAACTAGAAGTGGTAATCTAGCAGACTTATTGACAAAAGATAATGCCGATGAAGAGAAGAGATCATCGCAGTTAGGCCCTTCTAATTGGTCATCGTTTATCAAAACTTCGCGATGGAAATTTGAGTGTACCAAATATCATTTATTTTTGAAGCCTCTTCCGATACTTTCAAGCAATGAAGTGTTTTTCTAATTTTTTAACCGGCGTAAGATTGTACATTTTATAACGTCGCTTAGGCCAACCGTTTAACAATCCTGGTATAACAACGTCGAGCCCAAGGACCGAAGAAACGTATTTTGGGATGGGTTGGTTGATTTTTTAACAACACGGTCGAGCGAATCGACTCAAAATTTAAGGGTTTTCCATAAATCTGCTCGAATAGGAGGAAAATCGACGAATATTTTACTCAGTCTAGGAGTTTACTCAGGAGCCTCATAGCCTAGTCAGTGAAGGCACGGTATTACCAAGCCGGAGGCGGGTGGGTTCGATTCCCGGTCCGGTCGAGGGAATATTTCGGGTTGGAAATTTTCTCGACTTCCCTGGGCATAGAGTATCATTGTGCTTGCCACACAATATACAAATTCATGCATTGGTATTGGCATCGAAAGCTCTCAATTAATAACTGTGGAAGTGCATTTAGAACACTAGGTTGAGAGCACGCAATAAGCTAATATGCGCTAAGCAATAAGCTTGAAAATGCGAGTAAGAAGAAGAAGAAGGAGTTTACTAATAGGCTGACATAAACCTCTCTTGTTTATCCTCATACTCGAAAAGTTTTTTCTGGATTATTGGAAAAATATGTAATTGCTGTATGTTTCAACTTATGCCAACAAAAAATCTGTGTGGCAAAAAATGCAATCCATATATAATGGTGCACAAAAAAGGTTTCCAGTGAAGCAAAGCAACAACAATTCAGACTTTAATTAGTTCACATTTCAATTGTGACGTTTTCGTACGTTACTCACAAGCGTTATCGTTCAGGAATGAGTTTTGATTTTTCTAAAAATATTGGAAAAAGAAATAAAATAACCAAGAAAAAACCTTATTTTCCTTGGATCCTAGAAAAAATTACATGTTAATTTTTTTTCTATTTCATCGTGATTCTAAACTAAATCAAAAGGACGATTTTTGTGGATTTTGGAGTCCAACGTTTTGCCATGATGACTTAGAAATATGTTCTTACACCCAAATCTTAAAAAAAAGAGAAAATTACCAATGTTTTATGATTTTGTTTTTCTAATTTGTTGAGAGAAATCCAAACTTTTTTTTTTCTGGGTGATTAGCTTTCCCAATCTGCATTCAATATGAAAATACCCAACTATAACATTATACCATCTCAACAAAACTGTCGATTTGGGTGAGTGCGATTCAATTTGCTGAAAATTAATAACGAACAATGAAGAACATTCGCAGGATTTCTCGATTCATCACCATTCAACTATTATCTTTTGAGAAACTTTAGTCTTACATTGTAATTTAAAGAAAATCCAATCAAACAATTAACAATGACACTAGCGAACACAACACATCCCGCTAAAAACCCACTTGATCCTAACAACGAACGATGTAACATCCTGCACTGGCAAATAATACGTCTTTCGACACCCAGAAATAACTACACATTCCCAACACCACCCCATCATCATGGTACGTAACCCGCACAGGCAAGTGAACAAATTACACAACACCGTACGAAAACACGTCACAGTCCCAGAAAACGCCACCACCAGCAAATCAATCTCGAGAATGTGACATATCCGTCAGGCTGCTTTTCTTGTTTTAGAACCAATCTCACAAAAGCAGAAGAGAAAATTAAAAAAAAACAACAACGTTATAACAGTTACCAAAACGAAATGATACTGAATTAAATTCCTCACTTCCGAAAAGTGGAAACTTCACGCCATCCGATAGGATAATTCAAAGTACATTTGCACAATCTTCAAGCCAAAAATAAAGCCAACAGCTGTGCCACCGCTGCCGGCAGGGGAATTTGTATCGCAATGAAAATGTGTATGCGAACGAGTCCCGAAATAGATTCAAGCTAAACCGATCCGATCGTGTGGGGAAAACCCCATTGTAAAAGTGCCCAGATCGTGCGAGATTTCGAGGGGGAAGTATTGCGATCGGCGAATTGATTTTTTGAAACATTCTAGTGGAAAACCCTAATTGAAATAGTGCCGGAAATTTGAATGACCTTGACCCATTATTGGCAAGGGAATGTTGCTATAAATAGGCTAGGTAAACAAATACAAACCATCCTGCCTGCGCCGTAGACAGGTAAACAACCGATTAATGCCCGTCTGGTTTGGGCCTCAGGTACCATTGAACTTGGGGAATCCTTGCGTCACTGCGTCGGCCGAAAACGTGTCTCGTTCGGAAGCACGTTTACGTTGGCACCCAGTTTAATGTTTTGAATTGGTTTATTATTCCCAAAATACACCTCATATGTCAATGTGATTTGCCAACAAGGCGATGAACTACCTGTGTACATTACTCGCGTGAGTTGTAGAAAATGGCGTACGCACTTGCGCATGCAATGGGTTTCGGAAATAGCTTACAAAACTCGTCTCGTACCCTCACTCGCTGCTCAGCTGCGAGGTTCTATAATTAGAACAAACCAACTAAACCGGTGCTCTGCTTTTCTTCTCTCCTTCACAGTGCAACAACAAGGCGCCTTCGTTCAGCAGGCGTCGACACCGGCCATCACCTCGGCACCACAGACACCGGCGGCTCAGCTGTACCAGCAGCAGGCACCTAGCTATCTGGTACAGTCGCCCGGTATCCCGTCCGATGCTTCGCCACCAGTGTTTGAGCAGATCTTTAAAAACTCCCGCTTCGCACAGGGTGGCAATGCACTGTTTGAGGGCAAACTCAAGGGTACCCCTAGGCCAGAGGTTTCCTGGACTCGAAAAGGCGCACCACTTTTCGATTCCACGAAGCACACGCTTAGCTATAACCCCACTACCGGTGTGGTGTCGCTGCTGATCAATCAAATCGGGCCCGGCGATGAGGGCGAATACACTTGCAAAGCTAGGAATGCCGTTGGCGAAGCCATCTGCTCTGTGTTCATCCAGCCAGAGGGCATGCCTGCTCCACAGTTCCAACAAGTCAAACGGGAACAGCAACAGGTTATTCAGCAGAAACAGGTCACCAGCCAGCAGCAGTACAGCAATGGCTATTCGCACGTCGAAGAGGAATTCAAGGTCGATACCTTCGAGTATCGGCTACTGCGGGAAGTTTCCTTCCGCGAATCGATCACTCGTCGCTACGGCAACGAATCCGATGCTCAACTAATCACTATTGTAGATCGCGCTCTCGGCCCACCAGCACCACCGCAAATTAGTCAGAAACCGAGAAACTCAAAGCTAGTCGAAGGATCCGACGCTGTCTTCAGCACCAGAGTTAGCGCCAATCCAAGACCAAGACTGAGCTGGTTCAAAGATGGTCAACGTATTATCCCGTCCCTCGACAAGCACGAAATCAGCTACTCGAACCAGCAAGCTACACTACGCATCACAAGTGTTAACTCTAAGGACTCCGGCCACTACACTTTGCTGGCCGAGAACCCACAAGGTTGCCAGGTGTCTTCCGCTATTCTAGCTATCGAACCAGCACAGGAACAAGTCACCGTAGCAACCAGCCATGAAGTTATCGAGTCGACGGAAGCTACCAAAGCTTTGGTACCGGCGTTCGTTACTCTGATCCAAGATCAGGAAACTACCGAAGGCAAGATGGCTCGTTTCGATTGCCGTGTCACTGGCCGTCCATATCCGGAAGTGGCATGGTACATCAACGGCAAACTTGTCACCGACGACGCCACGCACAAGATTCTCGTCAACGAGGCCGGTAATCATTCGCTGATGATCACCAGCACCAATCGTTACGATCATGGTATCGTAACCTGCGTCGCCCGTAACAAGACCGGAGAGATTGCTGCTCAAGCCAAACTAGTCGTTTGCGAACGCGAACAGGTCGTTGCACCGAAGTTCATTGAACGTTTTACCACTGTCAACGTGAAGGAAGGTGAACCCGTCCGTCTATTTGCACGTGCCATCGGTACTCCGATCCCACGCATCACCTGGCAGAAGGATGGCATCCCTCTGCAGCAGGGACCGGACGTACAGATCCTATGGGACGACAATGGTTCCACCACCGTTGACATCCCACGAGCTAAGACGTCGGATGCTGCTTGGTATCAGTGTACCGCGCAGAACGTTGCCGGTACGACCGCTACCCGGGCTCGTCTCTTCGTCGAAACTCCGAAGGAACCAGCTCCGGAACAGCGCCGTCTTCAACTACCACGACCGACCAAAGTCATTGAACCCGAGTGAGTATCCTCAGTCAAGCTAAGCAAATACAAACTTCCTAACGATCTTTATCTTGCAAACCACTTTAGACCTGCACCGGAACCCGAAGTCATCTTCCTGCGCCATGTCGAACGCGCTGCTCCGCATATGCCACCGAAGGAAGAAGACCGTATCTATCCGCCCCCGAAGTTCACCATCCCGCTGAACGACGTTGCTCAGGTTGAGGGTGGTAAGGTTCACTTCGAGGGTCGCATCGAGCCCGTCTCCGATCCGACGATGCGCGTCCAGTGGTTCCTGAATGGAAACTTGATTCAAGCAAGTAAGTGCCCGCAACAATTCAACGATGTCTTGAATCTTTCGATTATTTCATTTCCCTTTCCACTCGTAGGTTCCCGTACCAACACGACGTTCCAGTTCGGTTTCGTCGCACTGGACCTGCTGACCATCGTCATGGAGGATAGCGGCGAGTACACGTGCCGCGTGTCCAGCTCTACGGGTGTCGCCGAGTCGCGCGCCATGTTGAGCGTCCAGCCGAAGCCTCCGATCGAACAGCAGTCACAGCACTCGGCTGCCCTGCAGCAGATTCAGAACCTCGAGGACTATGCCAAGTACGTTCGCACTGAGAGTATTGAGGAGGTGGTCAATCAGAAGCCAGCTTTCACTCGCCCATTGCAAGACTTGGGCCAGCTGGAAGAGGGAAGAAATGCTCATTTTGAGGCTCAGATTACCCCGGTGAGCGATCCAACAATGAGAGTAGAGTGGTACAAGGACGGCCGTCCGATTACGGCTAGCTCGAGGATCACCGCCATCTTCAACTTCGGCTACGTCTCCCTGAATATTATGCACCTACGAGCTGAAGATGCCGGTACCTATACCGTGCGTGCCGTCAATCGCATCGGCGAAGCCATCAGTACTTCTCAGATTGCGATCGTCAGCAAGGCAGCCGTCACTGGAGACTTGGGCATCGCTGAGCAGCAAAACTACATTCAGCAGGTTGAACAGCTGGAACAGTACCAAAAGTATCAGAACACGAAGTACTACGAGGAAACTCCTGAAAGCACTCAACGCCCGGAGTTCAAGACTCCCATTAGCGATCAGTTGAATATCCGCGAGGGAGGCTTTGCCCACTTCGAAGGTCGCCTGGAACCCGTCAGTGATTCTACGCTTCGCGTCGAATGGTTGAAGGATGGTCAGCCGATTGAGGCCAGTTCTCGTATTACAACTTTCTGCAACTTTGGATATGTTGCTCTGACCATCAAACAGGTTACGGTTCATGATGTCGGTCACTACACTTGCCGTGCATACAATTCCCTAGGAGAAGCTCACATCACCGGTAAGCTGACCGTGGTGTCTCGTCAGGACATCATCGTCGACTCCCAGACCAGCCATATGGGTATGGAGAAGATTCAATATCTGGAAGATTCGTCCAGATACAGTCGCACCACCCAGGAAGAGCAGCAAGTCATTCAGCCTGCTCCACGTTTTCTGGGACCGCTGAAGGCTACCAACAAGATCGTTGAAGGACAGCGTGCTCACTTTGAAGCCCGCCTGGAACCACAGTCCGATTTAACGATGCGTGTCGAATGGTACCAAAACGGACGCCCGGTGATGACTGCCAACCGCATCCAGACATATCATGACTTCGGCTACGTAGCCATGGACATTCTGGATGTTCGCGGTGAAGATTCGGGAACCTACACACTGGTGGCTACCAACGCCTCCGGACAGGCCCAGCTGGACACCCAGATGATCGTTGAAAGTGAGTATACGAATTCCTCACATGGTAGACCCAAGAATGACGCTTCTTTTATTCTTGTATACTTGTTCTGTGTCAAGTCGATTAAACGTTAACACAAAGACCCGTAGTCACTCTTGTAGTAGTTAGATTTCTTTTAGATCATTTTCAGTGTTAGGTTAGCTATATCTGTCCCCACTACTCCAACGACATATTCCCCGACATAGAACCAAAATGAAGGCACGTCATACGCTCAAACGCTAGGGCAACACATAAAATCTCTGTACGTATTTCTGTTTCTTGCAGCTCGTTCAGCCATTGATACAACTAGCATGCATCACGTTGTTGAACGTACCCAGCAGAAGCAGGAAAGTCAGTTCATCGAACCGTCGTATCAAATCGAAGAACTGTGCAAGTCCAAGCCGATCTTCACTCAGCCACTGTCGGATCCACAGCCCGTCGGAGAAGGCCGCAACATTCATTTGGAGTGCAAGCTGGATCCTTTGGGTGATCCTACGATGCGCGTAGAGTGGTTCCAAAATGGCCGCCCAATCACTATTGGATCGCGTTTCAAGACCTACTATGACTTCGGTTTCGTTGCCTTGGATATTCTCCACTGCACTGCGATCGATTCTGGAGAGTACACCGTCCGTGCTACCAACCAGCTGGGATCTTCGCACACTTCGGCTTGCGTTCGGGTTATCACCCGTTCGGACATTATCACCGAGTCGCAGAGTGAGATGACACACGAACAGCTACAGTATCTGGATGATTCATCACGCATGCGGCGTGACGTCCTGGAAGACATCACCGTCATGTCGGCACCGCAGTTCGTTCGTCCACTGCACAACATCGAAACGTGCGAAGGAACCAACATTCACTTGGAGTGCCGTCTGCAACCAGTCGGTGATCCATCGATGCGCGTTGATTGGTTCGTCAACGGACAACCCGTCAAGATCGGTCATCGTTTCCGTCCAGCTTACGAATTTGATTACGTTGCTCTGGATCTGCTCGGTTGCTACCCTGTCGATTCCGGAGTATACACTTGCCAGGCTCGCAACTCTTTGGGAGAAGCTGTCACTTCTTGCTCGGTCCGTATCGTTGCCAAGAAAGATCTAATCATGGAGACCCAATACCCAGCTGGCCTTGAAAAGATGCAGTTCATGGAGGACATTTCCCGCTATCGCAAGACTGAGTTTGTCGATGAGATTGTCAACGTTAAGCCACGATTTGTCACCCGTCCGAAGAATATCGACCGTGCTCAGGAGGGAGGTCATGCCCACTTTGAATGCAAGCTGGAGCCGGTTACCGATACAAACCTGAAGGTTGAATGGTACAAAAACGGTCATCCAATCACCATTGGACACCGTTTCCGTCCGATCCATGACTTTGGTTACGTCGCTCTGGATATTATCGATCTGATCGCTGAGGATAGCGGAACTTATATGTGCCGTGCCGTAAATTTGGTCGGTGTTGATGAGATCGCCGTCCAACTGTCTTGCCGTGGTTCGCAACAGATTTTAACTACCACCCAGAATGAGTTGGGTCTTGAGCAGATCCAGTATCTTGAAGAGAAATCTAAGCACCACCGTGCTGACCACAGTGACGATATGCCTTCGCAGGCTCCGACCTTCACCACTTCGTTGAAGCACATCGAAATCAAGGAAGGCCAGCGTGCTCATTTCGAGTGCCGACTGATTCCGGTGTCCGATGCGACCCTTCGCGTCGAATGGTATCACAATGAGTCTCTGGTCAAGTCCGGATCTCGTTTCACCGAAACGAACAACTTTGGTTTCGTAGCCCTGGACATTATGGGATGCTTGGCAGAAGATTCTGGAACCTACACTTGCCGTGCTGTTAATGCTCTGGGTGAAGCTGTAACTTCAGCTACTTGCATTGTCCACACTCGCAAGAGCATCTACTCCGAATCGCAGCACGAACATGCTTTGAGCAGTTTGCGCTACCTGGAGGACATGTCTCGCTATCAACGCGAGACTGAAGTCGACGAAGTTGTCACCCAAGCTCCGGTATTCACTCTTCCTGTGAAGGATGTAAAGGTTGCCGAAAACCAGGCCGTTCACTTCGAGGCCCGTTTGGTTCCGGTAGGTGATCCGAAGATGCGCGTTGAGTGGTTGAGAAATGGTGTCCCAATCGAGGCATCCAACCGCATCACCACCATGCACGACTTCGGATACGTTGCTCTGAACATGAAGTATGTCAACCCAGAAGATTCCGGAACCTACACTTGCCGTGCTACCAACGATCTGGGACAAGCCGTTACCTCGGCCAAACTGATGGTCCAATCCAAGGCAGCACTTGATCTGGAAACCCAAAACGAGAATGCCCTGGAGAAGATTCACCAACTGGAGGATGCCGTTCGGTACTCTCGCAAAGAAGAAGAAGAGTACGTCGTCACTCAGAAGCCTAGGTTCAGCACGAAACTGCACGGCCCAACGAACTTGGTGGAACAGCAAAGTGCTCACTACGAATGCCGCATTGAACCATATCCAGATCCAAACCTGAAGGTTGAATGGTTCCACAACGGACAGCCACTTACCACGGGTCATCGTTTCAGAACTACGTACGATTTTGGATTTGCCGCACTGGATGTCCTCACCGTCTACGCCGAGGACTCCGGAGAGTACACTTGCCGTGCTACCAATCACCTTGGATCGGAAACCTCGTCAATGATTCTAACTGTTACTTCCAAATCTGGAATCGTTCGCGATACCCAGCACGAAGGCGCACTGGAGAAGATTCAGTACCTGGAATGTGACGCACGCTATGGCCGCAAGTCCGAAGAGGAACACTTTGTTGCCGAGAAGCCACAGTTCGGCCGTCCACTGAAGAATGCTAGCGTTTCCGAAGGTCTTCCAGTTCATCTGGAAGCTACTCTCACGCCGGTTAACGATCCAACCATGAAGGTCGAATGGTACTGCAATGGTCGCCCGATTCAACAGGGTCATCGCTTCAAGACCACCTACGACTTTGGTTTCGTCGCTCTCGATATTCTGTACGCACACGCTGAGGACACTGGTACCTACATGTGTAAGGCGAAGAATGCCGTTGGGGAGGCTGTTACGACAAGCGCTGTTAAAGTCACAGGTAAGATCTCTGTTGTTCATATTTGCTTCAAACCATATGCTAATCTACTCTTTCCCTTGCAGCAAATGCTGGATTATATTTGGAGACTTTGGATGAACAGCGTCTGCAGAAGATTAAGGAACTGGAGAGCTATCAGAAACCAAAGACGCCGGAGGTTGAACCAGCGAAGCAGAAGCCTGTATTCCTGACCCCGTTGACGAACTTGGAAAACTTGAAGGAAGGCGACTACGCTCATCTGGAATGCCGCGTTGAACCGATCAACGATCCGAATCTCAAAATCGAATGGTTCATCAATGGCAAGGCAATCCGAGCGGGTCATCGTTTCCGTACGACTCATGACTTTGGATACGTCGCACTGGATATCCTGTACGTCTACGGAGAGGATAGCGGTACCTACATGTGCAAGGCAACCAATCTTGTTGGCGAAGCCGTCAGCACTTGCAACATTCGTGTCGTCAACAAGCGTAGCATTATCTTCGACTCTCAGCATCCAGATGGTTTGGAGAAGATTCAGAAATTGGAAGCCCAGTCCCGTCCATCGCGTCTGGAGCTTGAAGAACCTGATGTCACCACTCCACGATTCGTTACCGAGCTGCGAGGAACCACCGAAATCCACGAAGGACAGACCGCTCACTTTGAAGCCCAGGTCGAACCGATTCACGATCCTAATCTTCGTATCGAGTTCTACCACAACGGAAAGCCACTGCAGTCTGCTGCACGGTTCCACATTACTTTCGATTTCGGTTATGTTGCTCTGGATATTCAGCACGTTGTCGCTGAGGATGCTGGAGAGTACTCGGTCAAAGCCATCAATGCCAAGGGTCACGGAACGTCAACGATCAACATGCGAGTTACTGCCAAGGGCTCGATCATCTCGGACACTCAGCATCCAGAAGGTTTGGATAAGATCAAGCAGCTTGAAGGAGTCGCTCCATTCAAGCGCCCGGAGATTCAGGATGCCGTCACCAAGCAGCGTCCGGTGTTCACGCAGCCTCTGCAGAACATTGACTTCGTTGCTGAAGGACAGACCGCTCACTTCGAGTGTCGCTTGATTCCGGTTGGCGATCCAAATCTGAAGGTCGAATGGTACAGGAACGAGAAGCCGTTGGAAGATAGCTCTCGTATTACCAAGCAACATGACTTCGGATTCGTTTCGATGGATCTAACCCATGTACGCGAAGAAGATGAAGGCGTCTACATGTGCCGTGCAATCAATCCACTTGGTGAGGCCGTCACTACCGCTTCGATGAGAATCCGTACCAAGGCTAGCATCCAGATAGACTCACAGCATCCAGAAGGTATGAAGAAGATCATCCAGTTAGAGCAGCCACACGCTCCTCGTTCCGAGGAACAGGAAGCTGGATTCGAAAAACCAATCTTCACACAGCTGCTGACTGGTCCGTCAGAATTGTGGGAAGGTCAGCACGCTCATTTCGAAGCTCGTGTTGTCCCGGTTGGCGATGCTAGCATGAAGTATGAGTGGTACGTAAACGGAGTTGAACTGAAGCTGGGATCGCGATTCCGTACTTCCAACGATTTTGGATTCGTTACCTTGGATATTAACTCGGTTGTGACCGAAGATTCTGGTGTCTACATGTGCAAGGCAATCAACAAGGCTGGTGAAGCCGTATCGTCGACCACGATGAAGATCAAGTCCAAGTCGTCGATAGCTGGGGAACCTCTGCTTCCGGAAGCCTGGGAGAAGATTCAGCTCAAGGAAGCTGCTATGAACCGTGTCCCAGACATGTTTGTCGATACTACTCCACAGCAAGCTCCAGTGTTTACCACTCACTTGGAAAGTCACGATAAACTCCAAGAAGGCCAGCACGTCTACTTGGAAGCTCAGGTCGAACCACGCGCTGATCCAAATCTCAGAATCGAATGGTTCAAGAATGGCATGGCTATCACAACCGGCGCTAGAATTCGCAGTACCTTCGATTTCGGTCTGGTTACTGTATCGATCAACGGACTCCGTGCTGATGATTCCGCTATCTACACTTGCAAGGCTACCAATCACCATGGTGAAGCTGTTTCGACTGCTACTTTGAAGATCGAAGGCAGCCACTGGCTGTTGGGAGATACAATGCACCCAGCTTCCGTACAGAAGATAACCGATCTGGAAGCTCCACGTGCAGCATACAAGGGTACTCCCGAACCACAGTTCGAATCACCAGTATTTGTCACTCATCTGAACAATGTCGAATGCAAGGAAAGCGAAAACGTCCACTTCGAATGCAACGTGGAGCCATCGAAGGACCCGACCATGCAGATCGAATGGTTTGTCAATGGCAAACCACTGCCAACTGGTTCCCGTTTCAAGACTACCTACGATTTTGGATTCGTTTCGCTGGATATCACCGGAGCTTATGCCGAAGATTCTGGAATCTACACTTGCAAGGCAACCAACAGCAAGGGATCTGCATCGACTTCTGGATCGTTGAGATGCACTAGCACTACCACCATGTACTTGGATACTCAACATCCACAGGGCAAGGCTGGATTGGAAGCCGTTCAGGATACGGAAGCTGCTCTGGCTAACCGCTACAAGCGCCAGGAATCGAAGCCAGAAGGCGCCTATCCGGCACCGAAATGGACCGTTGAGCTGCAGTCCGAGTTCCGTCTCAACGAGACTGAATCCCTGCATCTGGAAGGACAGGTTGAGCCAAAGGATGATCCTAACCTCAAGATCGAATGGTACTTCAATGGTAAGGTCCTGGAGCATGGATCACGCTTCAAGATGACCAATGACTTTGGATTTGTTACGCTGGATCTGACGGAGGTTTACGAACGCGATCAGGGTATCTACACTTGCAAGGCATACAACTATTCAGGAGAAGCCTTCACATCGTCCACCGTTTACTGCGTCACTAAGGAGAGCTTGATCGAACGTACCCAGCACCCGAAGGGTACCGAGGGCTTGGAGAAGATCCAGGATCTGGAAGAATCTTTACGTAGACAGGAAGGTGGACAGGCCGACGCAGAGGGTGGACATGCTCCACGTTTCACATCAGAATTTGTTGCCGTTACCAATATCGGTGAAGGAGAGATTGCCCACTTCGATGCTACGTTGATTCCAACTGGCGATCAAACCATGGTTATCGAATGGTTCTACAATGCTAAGACCCTGGAGGCTAGCCACCGTGTTCGCACTGTGTATGCCTTTGGAATGGTTGTGCTTGAAATTTTGGGAACTAAGATTGAAGATTCCGGATCATACAGTTGCAGAGCTACCAACAAGTGGGGAACCGCTGAAATCAGTGTCGAACTTGAGTGTGTTGATAAGTCCGCTGGACAGAAGCCACGCTTTACTACTCAGATCAAGAACTTGGAGGGCCTGAAGGATGGACAGTCTGCTCACTTCGAATGCACACTGGTCCCGGTCAACGACCCAGATCTGAAGGTCGAATGGTTCCACAATGGCGCGCCACTGCGTCACTCGAACCGCATCAAACCGGTGTCCGATTTTGGATACGTCTTGTTGGATATTGCCTACGTCCAGAGTCACGATTCTGGTGAATACATGTGCCGTGCATCGAACAAGTATGGCGAAGACACGACACGTGCTACGCTGAAGTGCTTCGGAAAGGGAGGAGTCTACTTGGAGTCGCTGCAACCCGATTCGTTGGCTAGAATCCGAGAACTTGAAAGCCAAGCGGGTATGAAGCCAACCGCTGCCGGATCACCAGTTGGAGAGGCACCACGATTCGTTACCAAGATTGCCGACATTACCAAGCTGGTTGAAGGACAGAGTGCTCACTTCGAAGCTAGACTTACTCCTATCACCGATCCGGATCTCGTTGTCGAGTGGTACTGGAATGGACAGAAACTACCACATGGACATCGCTACCGCACGTTCCACGATTTCGGTATTGTCATCCTGGATATTCTATATTGCTACGAAGAGAACTCCGGAGAGTTTGAGTGCCGTGCTACCAACAAGTATGGATCGGACAGCACCAAGGCAACGCTGAAGTGCGTCTCGAAGGCAAACCTCATTCTGGACTCACAGCTGCCACGTGGAATGGAAGGTGGACTGGAGAAGATTCAGACTTTGGAAGATTCCCTGGTTCGCACCCGCGATGAACGTGAACGTGTCGAAGGTGGACGTGCTCCGATGTTCACCGTGCCACTGTCGAACATCGATAGCTTGCGTGAAGGTGAGAGCGCTCACTTTGAGGGCAAGCTTACTCCAACCAACGATCCGAAACTCAAGGTTGAATGGTTCTGGAACGGTAAGCCACTCAAGACCGGATCACGTTTCCGTACGTTCTGTGACTTTGGATTCGTCATTTTGGAAATTTCACCGGTTTATCCAGAAGATTCTGGAGAGTACTCGTGCCGTGCTACCAATGACTATGGAGAAGCTGTTACCTCGTCTACGATGAAGGTCCAAGGCAAGCGTAGCATCATTCTGGAATCGCAACTGCCGAAGGGAATGGAAGGAACCATCGAGCGCATTGCTGAGCTCGAGGGACTTGGAATTCCACACGGAGGACTTAGCCCAGACGATGATACCGGCAAGCCACCAGAGTTCATTACAACGCCTTCTGATCAGACCCTGACCGAGAATTCGTTGGCTCACTTCGAGTGCCGTTTGACTCCGATCAACGACCCAAGCATGCGTGTCGAGTGGTACCACAACGGTAAGGCCTTGTGGGCTGGATCCCGCATCAAGACTATCAACGACTTTGGTTTTGTCATTTTGGAGATTGCTGGATGCTACCAGCGTGATTCGGGATTGTACACCTGCAAGGCTTCCAACAGCCATGGTGAAGCTACCGTATCGTGCAAACTGACTGTCCGTGGTCGCCAGGGCATCATTATGGAGCCACAGTTACCGTCGAACTTCCGCACCGGAACGGAGAGCATTCAGAAGCTTGAAGAACAGCTGCACAAGCGCGAGGAAATGATGGCCGAAGAGGACGAAGCAAGGCCACCAAAGTTCATCGTTGACATTAAGGATAACGTTGATATAGCAGAAGGTGGACCAGTGCACTTCGACTGTCGTGTTGAACCGGTTGGAGACTCATCGATGAGAATCGATTGGTTCCACAATGGAAGGCCATTTGCTACCGGATCGCGTGTGCACATGTTGAATGACTTCGGTTTCATTGCCATGGATATGGACTACGTCTACGTGAGAGATTCAGGAGTGTACGAATGTCGTGCCACAAACAGGTGGGGAACTGCGTCGACTACTGCCAAGATTACTGTAGTGTCACGTGGTGGAATCATCTTGGATTCGCAACTGCCTGAAGGTATGACTGCATCCAAGTTGAAGGAACTGGAACGCGGAAAGGTTACCCTGGCTACCCAGGAGGAACGTACTTTCGGACCACCGAAGTTTGTTTCGCAGATTCAGTCTACGACGATCGATGAGGGAGAGACGGTACGGTTCGAATGCCGTGTTGAACCGAAAGAAGATCCTAACTTGCGAGTGGAATGGGTCCGCAATGGAAAACCACTGCCTAGCGGTCATCGGTACAGAACTATCTACGATATGGGCTTCGTATCGCTGGACATCCTGTCAGTGTATGTCGAGGATGCCGGAGATTACGTGTGCCGTGCGGTGAACCATCACGGTGAAGACGTTACCAAAGCCCACGTAAGCTGCAAGAAGCTACCGTCGATTGTTCTACAGAACCAGATTCCGAAGGGCATGCAAAGGTCGGAAACGTTGATGCAGATGGAAGCCACGATCAAGAAGTACACCGAAGAGATCTTCCTTACCGAGGATGATCTGTTCGACGCGGATCGCAAGCAACCACCGCGCTTCGTGACACAGATCAAGGATCAGGCTAGCCTGACGGAGATGCAGGCCACCAAGTTCGAATGCCAGCTGGCCCCGGTCGGTGATCCGAATATGAAGGTCGAGTGGTTCTACAATGGCAAACCGTTGCCATACAGTAAGTTGATCAGTATGATTTGCGCATTGAAATTGTAAATGTTAACTATTGATGCTTCGCAGAGAACCGCTTCACGCCGATCTACGACTTTGGCTACGTGGCGATGAACTTCGCCTGGATCTATCCGGAGGACAGCGGTGAGTATCTGTGCCGTGCCACCAATCTGTACGGTATGGACGAAACCAAAGCCATCATCAAGACAACGGGCAAACCGGGCATCATCTACGATTCGCAGCTGCCAAAGGGCATGAAGAGTATCCAGAAGATTCGCGAAATGGAAGCACTGTGGAACTTGAAGTGAGTTGATTTCAACGTAACATGGACACTGTAAAAGCTAATCTGTTGCCTGCTTTCTACAGTATTCCAGAGGTCATCGACGAGACGCAGAAACCGAAGAAGGAACCAGCGTTCGTAAGCAAGCCGGAGTCTATGGAAGTCGAGGAAGGTGAATGGGCACGCTTCTGCTGCCGTGTCACCGGTCATCCGAAGCCGAGAGTTATGTGGCTCATCAATGGACACACTGTTGTCAATGTGAGTCGGGCATTGATCCGAACTGTTCAAGTAATCATAAACTAAGCTTTGATACGATTTTACAGGGTCAACGCTACAAGCTCATAAACGACGGTATGTACCACTTCGACATCCCGAAGACTCGCCAGTACGATACCGGCAAGATCGAAGTCATCGCTCGCAGCTCCGTCGGTGAGGCTGTTGCCAGGTGTGAGCTGAAGATCACTCCACGCAAGGACGACTACCGTGGAGTGTTGAAGAACTCTCCAAGACGTAAGTACCTCCTGATACGCAAACACACCTACATCTAGGTTACAGAAAACTTCTCTACTATCTCACTCACACCACTGCAATAAAAAAAACAAACGATATCAGACAATATCGCAAACAATTCTCCATACTACTATGGATTTAAAGGCTTTACTTCCGGAGTTATCTCTCTAAGAAGGTTTTGATTTAATATACACTAACACGACACGCTTCACTATTTGGGAAAAAATAATACTAAACAAACGGGAGCTACGGCACTGAATCACATAAAGCCACATCCACACCGATATCAAAAAAAAATATCATCCCAAATCACCTGGGAAATACACCTCTGTAAAATAGAACATTCACATATGAAAAAAAAACACCAAATCCCATATCCCGAGAAATCCCTTGAATATCCCAATCCCAATCAAAACTGCCAAAAATCCCAAACAATCTACCGGGAACTTCTGGAAGCTGCTTCAACCGCCACCTGCGAGATGTCTAACGACGATATGGATCACGTGGGCTACAGCACCGCCACACTGCAGGCAGACTAAGTATGGACTAGATCCTTATCGTAGCTGTATTCTAACGACCGTGGTAACGACCCTCCCGGATCGTATTCTGCGTATTCCTCTGCGTCATGTCAATTAGATATCGGTTGCTACCATCTCTCGTAGTTGTATAGAGCTTTCTGTAAATAATCTTTCTTAACTCTATAGCAATTCTTTGTGTTGTTCGGCCTAGCCATCGGCGCATGGTGAGTATTTTGGAAGCGATGGCTAGGCTTCACCAGCAAATGCATTGATCTCTATCTATCTGTACATGTTGTTTGACTTCAATCCACTGTAAATAATCCGTAGACATTAATCCTCAACTTTCAACGCATGCAAACTTTTCAGCGGGTCTATCCAGGTATCCACGGAGTCTGTATCTCTGTAGCTACGTAACCAATCTTTATTCTAACGAATCTTTATATATTCTATTGCTCTATTGGGCGAAGACATCTTCGCACTAACCTCGCCTAGAGTCAGGCCACAAAATGTTTACCACTTTACACTATTTGTCTCCAGCATGGTACGATTACGATCTGGTCTCCTACCAGAAGAATCGTCTCGATACCGACCTGGAAGTGACGCTGCAGGAGGAAACCAAGAAAAAGAAGAAGGGTCTCAAGGCTCAACATCTGAAGCCGAAGGAGAAGAAGGGAAGCGAGACCGAATGGCAAAAGACTGTCAAGAAGAAGAAGAATGAAGAGTACTATAATAAGCTGGCCCTGGTCGAAAACGAACAGTTGGTCAAGGAGCAAAGACTCCGCGAAGACAAGCACCAGTTCGCTATTCCTGGTGAAAAGGTGGTCGGACAGTCAATTGCCAAAGGAATGGCATCTGCCTATGAGGAAACTATGTAAGTAAGCCCCAATTAAACGATCATTCACCTAACTAACCTTCCTTGATACCAAATTTCAGAGACGAAACCAAGGAAACCGAATCCCAGGACACGACCTCTGTCCAACGCATGAAGATCATCCCAGAACCACTGGAAACCTCCGTCCAGGGCAAGGAAGTTCACATATCGCAACAGAAACAGACCCAGAAGGAGGTCTACGATGACAAAGAGATCATCCGCAAGATCACGGCCACGGAAACGACCGAAATGGAACACAAGGGTACGACCCAGGAGCGTATTGTGGAGGGTCCGGTCAAACCGGCCACTCCTCCGGTGTTCACCAAGAAGATCCAACCGTGCCGTGTGTTCGAAAATGAACAAGCCCGCTTCGAGGTTGAATTCGACGGAGATCCAATGCCGACAATCAAGTGGTTCCGTGAGAACTTCCAGATTAACAACTCATCGGACTTCCAAATCCACACGTTTGGCACCAAGTCCGTGTTGATCATCCGCCAGGTATTCATGGAAGATTCAGCTGTATTCGCCGTGATTGCAGAGAACCGTGGTGGAACCGCCAAGTGCAGTGCTAACCTAGTCGTTGAACAGCGTCGGCAGCAAGGTCGTGGAGGCGTTACTCCACCCAGCTTCGTCAACACTATCTCCGACACTAGTGTTACCGCCGGTCAGCTTGCCCGCTTCGATGCTAAGATTTCCGGAACCAAACCACTGGATGTGTACTGGTTGAAGAACGGTCAGAAGATTTCGCCAAACATCAAGTACAAGGTTCTGGAAGAGGACAACACCTACACGTTGTTGATCATCGAAGCGTACGCTGAAGATGCCGGGAAGTACGAATGCGTTGCCATCAACAGTGCCGGAGAGGCCCGTTGCGATGCCAGTTGCAATGTGGAAACTCCACACACTCCGATCATCGAAAAACCAGCTACCCCGGGCACCGAACGTCCTCCGACTCTGGTTGAACCCCTGAAGGAGAAATCCGTCCCGGAGGGACAGTCGGTTGAGTTCCGTACTCGCGTAACCGGCAAGCCAAGCCCCACCGCCCAGTGGTACAAGGGCGACAAGCAAATCAAACCGTCCAAGTACTTCCAGATGACCAAGGACCGGGACTACTTCACCCTGATCATCACCGAAGCCTTCCCGGAGGACGAGGGCGAATATCTGTGCATAGTGTCGAATCCGGGCGGTGAGGTGCACACGACGGCCAGCTTGAAGGTCGTCACACCCGGCATGCAGGACGTCGCGCCGAAGCTGACCGAAATGAAGGACTGCATCGTGGACGAAGGCGCCCCAGCGCAGTTCAAAACGCAGATCGTCGGCAAGCCGACCAAGATGACGGTGCAGTGGCTGCGCGAGGGTCTGCTGATACCGGAGTCGCCCGATTTTCAGGTGAGTGGATTGAACGGGGTGTTGGGTTGGGGCATGATATGTAGCGTTAAAATTCCGATCAATGTAATAACGGTTTGAACGTAAATATTTCACGGGAACTTGGGTGCTGCTTTAAATATTTCAAACTCAATATTCATCTCACATAGTGTCGAGACTTTTCAGGCTCTCCAGGAGTTTCCGATTATTCAAATGTACTGGAAGTTTGTGAAGTACTAGAAGTATCTGGAGTTCGTGGAGTTCTGCAAAATCCATGAGATCCCGAAGTTCTGGATTTACCGAAGAATCAAGAGTTTTCAAAGATCCTCGGAGCTCGGGGTTATTCTATTGAATTTCCATAGCTCATGGTGTTCCAGGAATATCAATATTTATTTCTCTTGGAGTATCGAGAGATCTTAGAGTTCCGGGACGTTTTTTTATGACAACGGCTAACAGGGTTAGGATACAAATCTCAGAACTTCCATAGCTCCGAGCATCATAGGAACCGTGGAACTTCATGCATCAAAGCCTCAAACGCTGCCAAACACATTTCTTTAATTTCCGGGAAATATTCATGAACCTCAATTGCAAGATGAACTGAGAACTCCAGCAACCTCTGGAGCTCCAAAATCCCATAGAACTCCCGAGAATTTCAAGAAACTCGAGGACTCTAAAAGCTTTCCAAGCTGATACCTCACGGTGTCCTGATTTGTTTCCCTTACGATGGTTTTATCGGGAAGTTCTTGGAGTTCTGATGGTTTATGGAGATTGGGGCTCCCGGAACATTAAAAACCAAAATGGACTCCACTAGCTTCTGGAACTCGAGCAAACCCTTGTTTGTGACAAATGTGCTATTAAGGTAGATAATTAACTCTTAGGACTTCCAAAATTTACAGTAAGTCTCAGAACTTCATGAAATTATTAAACATCAGCTAGCTGTAGAATTGAGTAAAGCTTACATAAATTCCGGTGCTCTGAGAATTTTCAAAACATCCTCAACTTCATAAACTGTATAACTCCGGGGAAACAAAGAACTGCAAGAACTCTTAAAAGCTCCAGAAGTTTCAAAAACTCTAGCAACCCTTAGAACTTCGGGGAAAAAAAACCGAAAATGTTATCTGAACTTCCAAATTTTTTGGAACTCGAGCTAACTCTAAGATATTTATGAACTTGTGGTACTCTGAGAAAATCATGAATTTTCAGCAACTCTCATATCTCCAAGTTATTTTGAAACAACAGCAAGCATTAGAACTTTCGGAATTACCGAGTACTGAGACTATTTTCTAAACATCCTCAGATATATAAACTATAGAGTTCTCGAAGTACTAAGAATTGCAAAAACTCCTGGCTGCTCCAGATGTTTCGGGAATATATATATTATATATTTATCTTTATTAGGGAGGCTTTCAGCCTTGGGCTACTTCGCCTCGTTGTTTCGGGAACTGCAGCAACCCTTAGAACTTCTGTGAAACCCGAAAATCTGAGAACTTTTAAAACATTATATAGAACTTCAGGGAAATTAAGCAACCAAAAGAGCTCTCTGGACTCCCGGAACTTCAGGAGCTCGAGCAAACCCTAAGATGTTTGAGAAATGTTGGCACTCCAAGAACTTCCAAAATTTCCAGCAGCTCGAAGGAGAAGAAATTCCGGTGCTCTGCGAATTTTCAAAACATTCCCAACTTCATAAGCTGTATAACTTCTGAAAAACAAAGAACTTAAATAACTGTTAGAAGCTCCAGAAGTTTCATGAATTTCAACATCCTTTAGAACTTCGGGGAACTCCGGTAATCGGAGAACTTAAAAAACTTACAATGGAATATAACTGCTGGAACAAATAAAAACCACAAAAGCTATCTGATCTCTCGTAACTTGAGTAAACTCTAAGAAAATATTTAGGAACATCCAGTACTCTCAGAACATCATAAATTTTCAGTAACTGTCCAAGAAATTCTGAAACATGAGTAAGCTTTAGAAGTTTTTGGATTTCCAAGAAATTCCGGTTCTGAGACAATTTTCAAAAATTCCTCAACTACATGAACTGTACAGCTCCCGGAGTACTAAGAACTGCAACAATTCCTGGCAGCTCCAGAAGTTTCTGGAACTTCAACAACCCGTCAAACCTCTGGGAAATCAGGTAATCTTAAAACAACATTCTTTAGAACTTCAGGAAAATTAAAAACCTCAAGAGCTCTCTGGACTCCCGGAACATCAGGAGCTCGAGCTAACCCTTAGAGATATGAGAAATATTGACACTCCGAGAACTTCCAAAATTTCCAGCAGCTCGCAGGACTCCAAGAAGTTTTGAAACTGCAGCAAGTCTACCAAGTAACAATTTTTATTTTATGAGGATTCTATAGACCATGATTTAGACTTGATTTTTTTTTAAATCACGATAAAACTTTCAATGTTACTTGGGCTTAGTATTCTGTGGAGCTAAAGGAAATTCCGGTGCCCTGAGAATTTTCAAAACATTCACAATTACATCAATTATAGAGCTCCCGGAATGCTAAGAACTGCAAGAACCTCTGCGAACTCCGGAAGTCTAAGAAACTTCAGCAAAAATTAAAGAAAGGGCCTCAAATAGCCTGAGAATTTTTTTATTGTCCACAGCTTGAGGAGCGACAGAGTTCCTGAAATCTATAAAACTTTAAAAACGGACGCAACTGAATTTCGGGAGCTTTTGGATCTGCATCTCGAAACGTCGAGAAAATCGAGAACTCTGGGAATTTCGGCAACTTCGGGAATCGCGAAAACTTCTGGAGCTCAAGAACCCAAACTATCCAGTTAAGGTCAAATTAGCAATTTTGCTGATCACAGCGCAAGCGATTTCATGCTATATCTAGCAATGATGACCATCTAAGAAGTTCCTGTCTTTGGGAAAATTATTCAGGTTACCAAGACCTTCCTGATGGTAGACTAATAAGTTCAAAATTCTGTCAATACATGCTTCTAGAGTACATGGCTATGTACACAGAGGTACCCTTGTTTACCGATGGTATTTTGGTCGGTATTCTTTTTTTCTGGATTCCATGAAGCCTGGTTTTTGGTAATAAAGATACCATTTGTAGTCACTATTCGTGCTACCAAAGATCAGGCAGCTAGAAATTTGGGAGAAAGGAATACCAGCTATAACTCCATCGGCAAACAACGGTACCTTTCTGCATAAAGATGCTGGCCATCTAGAAAGTTCCTGCCTTTAAAGAATGGTTCAGCTTATCAAAACCTTTCTAATGGTAGACAAATAAATTCAGAGTTCTCTCACTACGTGGTACTACCAACAATCAATACGAAACTAACGATTTTAAATTGGCTCACCACTTTAGTAGCCTATTGGTCCCAAGCAAACGATTAACGTACCCTATTCTAGTTGAAATTCTATTACTACACTATGTTTGTTTTGATTCGCTATGAAAGTTTGACAGATAACATCAGGGGTGTGTGGATTCATGCAGAACATGCAGGGGTGAGTGAAATAGCTTGGGACTGCTTGGGACCGTTGTTCTGGTACTGAGTGAGCCAAAAATAATAATGATTTTCTTCGGGACCCAGTGGTCTTAGAGTTACCTCTATGGTACTACCATAGAGGTAACTCTAAGACTAGAAGGTCCCGAAATAACGTGCTCAACTTTTTGGCTCAGCTCTGGTACTCTCTTTGGTCCCAAGCTAATCGATTCACCCCTTGAAACATAGGAAAAACCAATAAGCCCTCATTTTATCTGTCAAACTTTCATAGCGAATCAAAATAAACAAAGTGTAGTACAGCAATTTATACTATAATGGGGTACGCTCGTCGATTTGCTTGGGACGAATAGGCTAGTCAAGTAGTGAGTCAATTTAAAATCGTTAGTTTCGTATTGATTGTTGGTGGTAGTGTGTATGTTAAAATTCTACATATGATATATCTTGAGATTCTGACTATCTAGGAAGTTGCTGTCTTGGGCAAAGTTGATCAGATGACCAAGGCATTTAGGCCGGAATACAGATAAGTTAAAAAAACAATCAATAGAATAACATGTACGAGTAATTTGAAGTTCATTGCGAGGAAAAATTGCAAACAGCAAATGATTTTCAATTCACTGTTGACAATCAACACTCTGCATTTAAATGCCAATCCATTACACGGTCGCCATTTTCCGCCATCATGTTAATTGCACTTGGCAACTGACTGTTCCGTTGAAATCTGGCGCCATAAATTTCCATCATCGTTACGACCCAAACCGATTGAGGCAATCAATTCTCAAAAATAATTACACACTTACTTTGGAGGGACAATATGCCTCACCATCGCCGTCAACAGAACGCTTCAATTGCACTGGGAAAAACAAACAGCTTGAACACTTGCCAAAATCCAAACAAAACCCAAAAATCAACGACTCGTTTCCAACCAAAAGCTTGAAGAAAATGGCCATGATGCCATTAAATTAATTGTTCCACCTTCATTAAAATTCTGACATTAAAGGTAGTCACGTTTGTACTTGAACTATTCGTTGTTCTGATTTTTATTTTTGGCATCTATTCCGGTTGCGATCTGACACGTAGTAGGACAAGCATGTGAACACATCTTGTCCACCAGCAAGCGGAAACAGCAAAATTTTCCCCCTCCAAAGTACAGGTGAGAAGCTATAAATCATCTGCTAACGTCGTGATGAAACGAGTGCTATTTTTGATTCGATACCACCTACGTAGGTGTACGCTCGGTTACCAACCAAAGGTGAGTCATCTTGCCTCTAAATTCCTGCAGCAACTTAATTAACATTCTGCAGCACTGCTTTTTGACAGCTCAGCGGAAAATGGTTGAATAATGCGAGACCGTGTGTTTGATCTTGATTTTCTTTTGGGACTGCAGAAGATGAAAGTGAAAACCGCTAGCTCCGTGTCATCCAGTTCCAGGAAGAGTGATGTTTTGGCAGGAATCCGACGGTCGGGCGTATTGGGGTGTGAATAAATGGCCTGTCTATGACCAATTTGACGTGTTTGGATTAGCACGAGTTGCGTCAAATTGGTCGTAAATTATTTCCTCGTTG